ATAGGAGAATGATGCATAAACCAGTGATTGTGTAGTGGATTTCGGGCCGCCGCACATGACCCCCCCCTTACGAATAAGTGTGCAAATTACGACCTTACGTCTTGCTTTTCAGAACGGGTGCTATGCCCCCGTGCTCTTCCAAACTTTGCCTTCGGTGTCCGTTCGGCCAGAAATCTGTACTTAGCTACCCTTTTGCGTATATGAGATGGTTTTTGCCCTCAAATGCCTGGTGGATGAAAAATTTTAATACATGTAGTCTTACTAGTTTTTGTGCCCCCACCCTCTGGCCATGTATGGCTCTCATTTTAGCAACATTTCAAATGCTGCGTGAACCCATGGGTGATGCTCTACGCACATTTGGTGATCCGGCGGAAGCCGCTCTATTATGTCGTCAATCTCGTGAGTTTTCAACACCTTGATAGCTTTGTCGATCATGGCAATTTCGATTTACAGGTGATTCCAACGTCGATCATCACTGTTGTGGCTATTACTGGCTTCTTCACACCTACATCGACTTCCAGCGAACGTGATGAAAAATTGTTAGATTCTGAAACCCCACTCGGGGTTTTTGTTTCTTCTTCAATCTCCTTTTCGAACTCACCCCGTGGATCGCTTTCATATAATATTTCCACCTTTCAAAAATTTACTTTTCTTGTTTTCGTATGCTATGAAGCATGTTTTCACGCGAGCACGCAGCATCCTGGAGAAGCTCAGTAGATCAGTTGCTTGGGGAGGGAAACGGAGTTAGCTGAGTAGCTAAATGTCCTGCTCAGCATTCTCCTACTGAGACAATGTTCACTTTGAGCAACCCCAATCTTAGAAGAACACGACGACTCTCTATACTTTCCTAGTCGCAGACGCTGCCGGATGCTCGGAACGCTGGTGGACGCGATTGGTCGCTGATTGACGCTGCGCAAAGTATGAACGTACCTTACAGAACTTTACGAAACAGCGGGCTGCAACGGCAGATGGGCGTGAACCAAGCACGAGTTAAGACTCAGATTTTTTAATACGGTATCGCGTAAAAGTACCTCCTGTCATCCGTGCAAGTACACAATACACGGTACTACCGCACTTCCACGCCTGACATACTGTAGATTTTACTTCCGCGGAATACTTTTTGGATAATGTGTCCGCGGAAAAGTGTCTGGTGGTTTAGTGGAACAGTGGGACAAACTATCCTTTCTGCCACTTATTACTCGAACGCTTGCTAGTTGTTGGTACCATATTGACACAACTTCTTGAAGACAAGCGTACAATCACCTCGAGGACAGTACTTGCAAGTATGAGCCGAGTGGGTCCGCAGCTGCACTAACTTGCCACTTTTCTCGGTCAACAGGGCCTGAAGGGTAAGGATGCCCCGTTGCCGTCTCCATACTCCACCCGCGCCATCATCAATATGCAGTACTTGCGTGGATACCAGGATCCCTCGGAACAGGCGCTCAGCGAGAGAACAAACAGGAGTGAGAGAGCGCAGACAAGTAGCGCGTTCGGCTATGGCTAGGCGCCTAGCGAGCCGTACGCGAGCCGATAACAGCACTGCACTCAGAATATGAAAACGACATCTGGGCAACCTGTACCTTCGAGCCCGTTTCCTTACGGTCTTCTTCGCCAACATCATTTATGCTCTTACTCTCATTGATTATAAAAGTATAATTTCAGCAAGTGCTACTTTACACATAAGGATCTCGTGTTAGACTGGGAGCCAGCTTATGAATTATATTACGGGGCAGCATTCGGAAAACTTGAAGACGTTGATGGGGGAAGAATTCGCACAGCAACATTCCGAATAAAGCGATTTTACAAGCCATCTGAATCTCCTAAAATCTGGGACAAGGTATCCTCCTCCACTGCATTTTATAGTATGGTGTTCCATAAGTTTCTCAATTTTTCAAGCTAAAACGCTTATTTGACTGTTTCTTTATAACGACCACTCGATGCGCGGTGAAATAGTCGTCACTGTGATCCTCCAGTTAAGAATACCTCCACACCAAAGAATCAATTCCGCCCGTTCAA